GAGAGGGGTGGATTTCCGCTTGAGGTGTGATTATATCCTTGGTAGGTAAAAAATTGCAGAAGGTCTAAGTGAAATTCGCCTATATGTAAGGCCTACCGATATTTTCGAAATCTTATTTATGTGAAATATTTGTCTATTCCTCCTTCAGTAACTTCTCCGACCTAGGATGATCACAAATCTTATTCATAATCTGCTGATAGTCTCGAAAATCTCCATTTTCTAAAATTTGTTGTCATCCTGGGAAAATTCAACTATCAGCTTATCATCATCTATTGCGACCTGGTGGGGGTACAGCTTTGTCTCAAAAAACAGACTAATTATGACTATATAACTTGCTTTTCTAATGCTGGAGTACCTTAAATGTCGTTTGAAGAGGTGAGTGGAAAGGACTCGTACGTTTGTCTCATCGGAAGTCGATGTTGGGTTGCTTTAGAGTTGCAATTGTAGATTTGTGCGAATAAGTTCTAGACTTTACTCAGCCTTCGTCCGTAATGTGACGGACATTCTCAGAGCAGGACACCATACTTTAACATAATTGATCAGTCACAAAGTCGAACGGACGAAAGCTCAACAAATAATCAGCATGGTAGCGGGATAGTGAGCCGATGACTTATTGCACAAATTGACTTCCGATGAGACCAATTTACGAGTCCCTTCCACTTGTCTCGACAAACGAAACGAAAAGGACCCCAACCCCAACGTCTATTAAAGAATTCATCGTAAACCATTGTTTCTACATATCATTTTTTTAATGTTTTCTTATAGGCTTTAGCCAGTTCGGGTAGACTTGGCCCGAGAAAATGGCCAACGACATGACTCTGTCAGTTCAGGGCCTTGAAATGAAAAGCTTGCCGGGAAATTCCAGTCACACCTTTCCTCCTTCCATCAGTCCCTACCTCTTGCATCACCTGCCTCCTCATCAAAACCACCAAAGTCCCCACAAAACAGACCCGATCACCCACCACCCTTCGGCGTCGATCTACCACCCCATGCCGCACCAAACTCCTGTCCTCGATGACGTCTATACCCAGTCCATGATGCCCCTCCCTTCTGCCGGCCAGTCGCGTCAGCAACTGTCCGACGAAGTGATAGAGTTCGCCTGGCCGAGCTATCCGATATCGCGAGGTCGACTGTTGCCAG